GGCCAGTCCTCACCGTGTAGAGGTTGCTGACATGTAAGGGGATCTGAAGTCAGGCCCTCAGACTTGCATAGCAAAACTCTTTATCTCTGAGCCAGCTCTCCAGACCTCCTTTTCATTCTTCACACCAACACCCATTTTAGAGTGTTATAATCCAAGAACAGCCGCACAAACCAGATATTGGTGGTTTATTAAATGCAAAACCCCAAGACTGGTCATGACCAGGGACACAGAAAGGAACTCAGGAGCCTAACTGTTACATCATTGACTTGTTCTCACAGCAGGGTTTTTATAGAAAGAACCAAATGCAAAAGACACAGGGAGGGCAGTAACACATTTTGGTCAACCATACAAAGCAATATTACGTTTTTGGCTAACTAGGCGAAGTGTTATCAGCTAACCTTTAAGCTGATTGGTCCTAAGTGAGGTAAGTGAGGCAGGGCTTAGGCTCTTCTGGCGTACATCCAAGGTGCAGCCCGGTGTGTAGATAAGAAGGGTGCAACCAGAGTGTAGCCACGTATGAAGATAACAAAGTATGAATTAGGACTGAAATGTAAGGTCAGCTTGACCCTTTGACAGAGACTGTTAGTGTCAGCTATGAATAACTGCTTCTAGGAAGCAGGGTTGAAAAGATTAAAAATTTGAACTTAATTTCACCTTATAAACAAAATGGAAGTTAATATAAAGATGGCTACAGCTATGTCAAAGAGCAGGCTTCAACAAGAAGACCAAGGGGTTTGGTTTGGCTTTAGACAGTGAGTTTCTCAGACCTGCTTCCATAACCCTGCCCTTGTCTTCAGAGTCCTGGGATTGCCCGAAAGTATGGTCACACCCTGTTTAAAGTCTTGTTTTAACTGTCATTTAATATTTGTGATCATGCTGTCTTGGACAAAAAGTGCCAAGCAGAGATGAGGGATTAGAAAAGTATCCAGGGCCTGTGGACTCATTCCTTACAGGGACGATCAGGTCTTTGCTGTGCTTTATCAGACTAGACATTCAGACCAAGCCTTCACACAGGCATTACCAATCCGCCTAGGATGTCAGAGGCTGGAAGAAGTGGATCAGAGCAGCCAGCTCAGGCCCCAAAGCGCCACAAAATTGCATAATATAACACTTTACTGCCAAGCATTTGAGATAGTGCGGCTATGTTTTAGTTATTTGTGCATATTTAGATGCATGTAATATTTGGCACAATGTTACATGGTTTGAAAGAATCTATTTTTAAAAGCTAGGATCATTTGTAACATTATGTATAAATTTGATGTAATGTTGGTGCTTTTGGAAAATATTTTAATGGCAAATTGGACTGTTTCCAAGTTCCACAAAGCTATCCTAATGTTATTCATTTGGTTCACAGGAAAGGAGGAAACTCACTAACCAGCCAGCTATTTGGCTTGGAGAATTGCTTTGACAGGGCTGAGCACCTCCCACACAGAGACGGGACAGAACTCTCCTCTAAGGTGGCCTTACAGTCTTCAAGAGGAAAGGGCAGATAATTGGTACATAATTGAGGATCAGGAAATTCTTATGGACTATTGGGACCTGACGTGCAGTTTTAGCAGAGGGACTCAAGTCTTTCAGCACCAAAGAGTAGAGAGCAAAGAACACTGTTCTCCAGGCACGGGAGCTTTCAGAAGCTCTGGGCAGTTCCGGGACTGCAGGGCGTGAACCAGCCGTGGAGGCGCAGGCTAGACAAAGGCTCCAAGGTGGGCAGGTTCAGAACTGGAGAAACCTGTCCCAGAGACCACAGCGTGCGCCTCCAGGTCCCCAGGTGAGGAGGACTAGCAAAGGCGGCTTCAAGATCCCCGCCGGCCCCCGAGGCGGAGCCGCGCAGGGTCCGAGTTCGCTCACCAAACCCCTCCTTCAGACAGCACAATCACGGCTCCCGCGCCCGGGGGGAACCGGGCACTTCCCCCGGGAACGCAGAGACCTCCCCAGGCGTGGCTCTGGACCAGGTCTGCAGCCTGTGCTGTCCTTCAGTCTGTTATTGGGTGGCCTCATTTTGTGTAGCCGAGGCTGGTCACTGGGCAGTTTGTAAAGGCCTGCGGCCGCCTTCCACTCCAACTACACCTTCCGTGGGAGTGTGCCGAGATCCAATCTTTGGGGGTACACCTTCGTTCTGTCCTTCCCGTGGGGCTTTACCCCACTAACACCGCGGAGCTCACGAGCCACTTCAGTAAGCACTAGAGAAAAAAATAATGCAGTACTGAAAACGCGGTTCTAGCCGGGGCGGTGCCTGTAATCCCAGCATTCAGGGAGCAAGAGACAGACGGATCTCTGTGAGTTTGAGGCCAGCTTGGTCTACAAAGCGAGTCCGGGACAGCCAAGGCTACACAGAAAAACCCTGTCTCAAAAACAAACAACAAAAGGAAGAGAGAGAGAGAGGGAGAGAGAGAGAGAGAGAGAGAGAGAGAGAGAGAGAGAAAGAAAGAAGGAAAAAGAAAGAAGGAAGGAAAAAGAAAGAAAGAGAGAGAGAAAGGAAGGAAGGAAGGAAGGAAAAGAAAAGAAAGAAAAAGAAAATGGTTTTTTAATAGTTTTGAAAGCCAGAGACAGGAAATCAGGGGATTTGCATTGGGAGAGGACAATCTGCAGTTGTAATGCGCCTCTGCTGAGAGCACAGGACGTCAACATGGCGTCAGACCAGCTACTGGGATCCCTGCAACCACTCTCCGACAGCGCTAGCCAAGCTATTCAGTGTCCTCCAGAAAGATTCTGAGCATCAGTGCTTGTTGTCCCGTGACTCGGGGAGGTTAAAGTCTAGGGTGTGCAGGTTAAGTTCAAATTCTGCAAAGCATTCTTTGGTTCCCAAGAGTTTGGCTGAATGAGGCTGGCAGTTCCGAAACAGAGGCATGTGGGGAGGGACTAAGGTGAGAGCTCATGGATCAAGAGTTAGGGAACTGAAAAATCACAAATGTATTCTACTGAAGATGGGAATGCTGATGATGAAAGCTTCTAATCTAAGTAGTGGCGTGTGCCTGCTATCTCAACACTTGACGCTGAAGCAGGAGGATGGGGAGTCTGAGGTCAGTCTGGGCTCCATGGGGAGGTGTTGTCTCAAAAGGATAATAATAAGTGAAAAGGGAGCTTCTGGCTGGGGAGGCTCAGTGCTGGCATTTCGGAGGTGAAGGCAGAGGGGTCAGAAATTCAAGGTCACCTGTAGTCACTGAGGATGATAGATAGATAGATAGATAGATAGATAGATAGATAGATAGATAGATAGATAGATGGATGTTGGAGAGCTTCAAGTCATAAACTGTTATGACATCCACTCCATTCTGTCCTTGCTTCCTCAAACTCGATGCACCTGCTAGTTGAGTCAGCCAATTAAAGATGTCTTCCCTTCCTGCTGAATTGTCACTGTAGCCCACCGACTAGTCAGCTAAGACTATTGAAAATGTGTGTCCATAGTGTCATTTGTGCAAATTGCACAACCCTCTTTTTTTTAATATACTTGTTTACATCTGATTAGTGAAAACTAAGGCACTTAGGGGCATTATGGATTTAGTTATGTTGTCTAAATTGCCTCCAAACTTTTAAGTTTTATACTTCTCATTATTATTATTTGAGACAAGGCCTTGCTATATAGCTTTGGCTGGTCTGTAACTCACCATATAGACAAGGCTGGCCCCTTATTCAGAGATCTGCCTGCTTCTGCCTCCACAGTGCTGTGGTTAAAGTCGTGGGTGCCATGCCCAGAGCTTACCTCTTAAGAATAAATCTAATTTTATTATTCTGTGTATGTGTGGAGGAGAGGGAGTACGTGTGAAGAGGCCAACTTTCAGGAACTGGTTCCCCTCAGATCGAGCTCCCGTTGTCAGGCTTTGGAGGCTCTTACCCTCTGAGCCATGCTCTCTGTTGTATGACAGATCTGGTCTCCATCTGCATTCACTGATCTCAGCTCCTGTGCTGGTGCAAACTTCTATTTCTACACAACTCTCCAGGAATTTAAACTATTCCAAATGTTTCCAATCTCGGGGAACTGGAAGGTCAGGTCTAATATGACGCATGTAGGGTACCCCTTAACTCTGTGCATTCTCGATCCTCTACCACACAGCAATAAGATGACACTATGAACTGAAATGAGAACCACAGTTAGTTTGATCAAGGGAGGGCCATAGGAACAAGAATATCTTGTCCCTTGAGTAGTAGAGTGTCAAGATAGGGTCATCAAGATGGCTCAGGGTAAAGGCATTTGTCACCAGGCCTGGTGACTCAACTTGATCCCCAAGACCCACATGGTGAAAGGTGTTAACTCTTACAAGCTGTCCTCTGTATGGTTGGCCTGGCACTTGCTGTCTGGACCAGGCTGACCTCTGGCTCCTAAGTGCTGGTATTAAAGGCCATGTGCCATCATACCCAACTGATTCTGTGTTTTGTTTTTAAATTTATGTTTTTTGTCTGCAAGTGTGTCTCTATATCACTTTCGTGCCTCATCCTAGAAGAGGCCAGAAGGTGCCAGATCCTCTGGAACTGGTTTGCAGGCAGTTGTGAGCTGCCATATAGTTGCTGTGAACTGAACCTGGGTTCTCCGCAACAGCAGAAAGTGCTCTTAGTCACTGGGCTGTCTCTCCACCCCATTTCTGTTTATTGAAATGCCAATTTTGTAGAAGTAAATAGGTTTTGGCAAAGTCAGATGCTCTACCCAGTAGGAACTGAAAGGCTTTTCTTGTTTGTTTGCTGGGGTTACAGCCAGACTGGTACATGCTGCACAGGTACCCTACCAAGGACCTGCACATCCAGCTTGGAACTGCAGGATGCTCTGTTCACAGCAGCCACCAGTGGTTCCTTCTATCCACCCACGGCAAGGAGCAGTGGAACTGCAATTGATAACCTGTACCAGGAGAGGAGTGGAAGGTGACAGAGGTGACACTGGTCTGTAGATGCTCTTAAGTGATGAGTCAGCCACGGACAGACCTCAGGCCAACCACCTCCGTTCAGGACTCAGCTTTCCTGTTTTCCCAAATCATGTATTGCCCAAAAACAGAGACGACTGTGACTTCTCTGTTTAAATGACTTTATTTCTTTCACATCAAACTGAGAAGGCAGAACACTAGTTCAGGTGTTTTGGTCGCTGGGTAAATACTGTTTGGCAGTTCTCAAAAAATGAAATGAGTTTGAAATCAGCTTGGTATATACAGCAAGTTGCAGGTTAGTCAAACCTACATAGGGAGACCTTGTCTCAAAGAACCAGCACCCCCCACCCCACCCCCTAAAAAAACCCAAACAAACCAAGAACACAGTCAGCAGGAATAGAAAATTTTTACCAGAAATAAGAATAAAACAATAAGATACTTTAAAAAATGAAAAGTGGCATTTTTTTTTTTAAATGATTAAAATGCCCAGTGTTCTTAGTAAGGGAGCAGAAAATGAGTGCTCTTTCACACTGCTGAAGGGAGGGCACACTGGTAAGGCTGCTTTGAAGAATGTGTCCATACCGCAAAGCCTTGACAGCATGCCTACCCTGCAATTCCACTTCTGTAATGCAAGCCAAGGAAGGATGGAAATACACAATCAGTACCCTTGCATGTTGTGTCGTCGTTCTGAGCAACTGTAGGCAACACAACAGTGGATTATTGAAATTATAGGCCAGCAACACAATAGAACATTAGCAAGAGTGTGCATGGCAGGATGTCTGCTGACAAGAAAAATGCTCCCTATTTTGTAACACAGAAAATAACAAGTTATAAAAGAGTACATTAAGATCTCATATTTGTTTAGAAAACTACATTTGCATATACATATACAAAGACACTAAGGATAAATGAATTACCACTGGCAAGCTCTGGCCGATGGAAGTGTGAGTTAATTAGAAATTTATACCGATTCTTACAATACAATGAACACGTATTATTTCTGTGATTTAAAAAGGGGGTGGGAATTAAAAGCCTAGTTTAGTTCAGGTTTTTGACTTGTGAAGCGAGTTGTGTTCCTTCAGGCATCTGTTTGTTTTGTTCCTTTTGACCCAGGCAGGGCAGTCTCAGCTGTCTTCCTGTCATACTCAGGCGTGCTTGCCTGTCTGGAAAACATGGTCTCTTCTCTGCTGCTAGAGCCCATTCAGACTCTTGAGTGGGGAAGATAGTGAGTAGGGTGCTGGCAAAATTGTGCCCAAGGCCTTTACTTTAAAAGAAAGCCCTTAAGCCTTTAATCTCAGCACTTGGGAGGCAGAGGCAGGTAGATCTCTGAATTTGAGGTCAGCCTTGTTTACAGAATGAGTTCCAGGACAGCTAGGGCTACACAGAGAAATCTTGTCTCGAAAAACCAAAACCAGAGAGAGAGGGAGCCCTTAAAAGCTTCAGTTAGGGAAGAACAGCCAGAAAACAGATGCCAAGGAACAAGCTTTTGTTTTTATTTTGTGAAATATTTATTTACCTATTTGTATGTGTATGTTCCTGCTTGTCTGTATGCACCACACATGTGCAAGCAACCTCAGAGACCACAAGGTACAGATCCCCTTGAACTGGAGTTACAGGCAGCTATGAACCAATGTGGGTGCTAGGAATTGAACTTAGGTCCCCTGAAAGAGCATCAAACATTCTTAACTGCTGAACTATCTTTCCAGTTCCTGTTTGAGACAAGATCTCACATAGTACAGGCTTACCCTGAACTCCTGATCCCCCTCCACTTCCTAAGCAGTGTTGTTATGAGGAATAATAAGGTCTCTACCTAGTCCACATTTCAATTTTAGGCTTCCAGAGGAAGGGATGCTAGCAAAGTATTTGAGTCTGTTTATAAAGAGTCCCTTTCAGCTACTGAGTCACTCCAGAAAAGAAATGACCAAGCAACTGGAGATCATGTTGAAGATTTAAGTTGGCTAGTAAGGAAAGGTGACACCAGTCCCATAAAAATAGACATCTCGGTAGACAGGGTTTGCATTCTGGGTTGGTATAGTCCAAGTGAACCAAAATCACAAGGACCTTAGCAACCTATATTTAACCTATGGTGATAGTATTCATTAAAGAAGTCGTTCCTAATAAGCCCAGGTGTGATTCGGCTCAGGCCTATCCCTTGTGTATCTTCCATCCACCATGATTCCAACAGAGCCTTGTAAACAGCTGCAGTTGAGCTTCCCCAGAGCTGACAGTGCAGACTGCAGCATGGAGGAGACTGAAGAGAGAAACCTGATCAAGATCCAAGGGAAGAAGGGTCACACTCATCTTCAGGACAAATCCACTATAAACCTAGAACAAAGGCTCTCAAATATGGTATTGAAAATGTGTCTCAAGTAATGTGTTTCTTAGTAAAATACTGACATTTGTAAATGTTCTACTTTAAAAAAAAAATAAATTACAAGGTCACATACAACGATGTTACTCTCAAATACTTTGTATGCTTTATTCTAAGCCCAGGCTGGCTTAGAATTCCCTATGTAGCTGAGGATGGCCTTGAACTCCTGATCTTCCTGCTTCCACCCCTTAAGAGCTAAGAGTACAGTTGTGTACCCTATTACCCCTGGCTTCTTGAACGAGAGAAGGCGGCGTTTCATCTATTAGCCAGTGAGCATCCTTTTTCCTGTCACTGTGGCTAAGATGACTGCTTGTTCTTGTTGAGCAGGAAGAAGGGAGCCCTGGGTGAGGGTGTGAAGGAGGAGGGCCAGGGACCACATTACACTTGTAGAGTACTTGCATGTTCTTCCATGTTCGAAAACGGGGAAGGATTTAGGACATGTGATGCAGAGAGGACTATCGGGAGGCATGCACTGACGGCCTAAAAGAAGCAGGCCTGGCCCTCTGCACGCTCAGGGCATCGGTGCTCATCAGTTATATCAGTACCAAGAAGACTGCCAGCCCGGCAGACACACCAGGCTCCAGGTCGGTTCTCGTGGGGACAGCTTTACAGCTGGGGTGGAGCCAAGCCCCCGTCCCTCAGCTACTCGTGGGAAACTCGCTCCAAGGCCACGTAGAAGCTGTTCTTATCATCTAGGCAATGCCAGCCAATGGGTCCAATCTCACAGTCGGCGCAGACCAGAAACTTGACGTTGCCCACGTCCTTGGTGAAGCCCACGTTCTCAAACACGAACATGTCACTGACCAGCCAGTGCTCCTGGAGGAGGTCACCATCAGCACTGCCGCCATCGGCCAGAGCTGGCTTCTTTCTCATGGAGGGCAGGAAAAGCTGCAGTGGAGAGACCAGAGGGTAGAAGAGCTCAACTGAGTCTAGTCACATCTTCACACATTTCTGCTTACACTGGACCCTGATGCCTAGCAGCTTCCCAGAATGGGAGAAAATAAAGACAGCAGCCATCACAGCAGCTCACATCCTGGGATGCTGGCCGCCCTTGCAGTGCCTGCCCTGATTATTATTATTACTATGTCTATTATTATTTAGACATAGTCTTCCATGTTATGGTTGGTCTTTAAGTCAAAGCTATATACTGGCCTCTGCCTCCTGAGTGCTGGGATTAAAGCCCTGCTATCAACACACTTGGCTTGTCCTGGTTCTTTTTTAAGATTTTCACTTTCCACACTCTTTTTTTGATTCAGTTATATTCATAAAAATCACATAGTACTAGTGGCCATTTCTGCTTTCAGGTATGTCCTTTTGCCTGCCCGTTTCTTCCCTTCTTGTAGCTGGGTGCAGCGGTGCACACCTGTAATCCCAGCACTCAAGGAGGCAGAGGCAGAGGCAGGCAGATCTCTGTGAGTTCGAGGCCAGCCTAGTCTACAAAGTGAGTCCAGGACAGCTAAGGCTACACAGAGAAACCCTGTCTCAAAAACAAAACAAAACAAAACAAAAAAAGGGAAAAATCCTTCTCTTATTGTGATGTAGGTAAAAACATATAAGGGCCTCTTCACCCACTACATACCTCTAAACCACCCCTACCCCAAATACACCTCCTGCCTGTGAGTGCTGGCCTGTGCGTGCACTCACACACACAAATTACTACAGCTGCCTAGAACTTCACATTCATCTATTTAACTCTCAGATTGTCCCCACTGTACAGTGTTCACACTTGTTGGTATCTGGCCCTATTCTCTATACTAGACTATATCACCGTGAGGCCAGCTTCAGTGTATTCTTCTTCCTTTGACACCAAGCTCAGCAGCAAGGCCTGATGAGAAAGGGAACCAGAGGGTTTGCTCTGAGTCTTAAGTGCTCCTCCTTAAGGGAGGAGCGCTTTAGCAGCTAGCTTCTCTGCTTCACTGTTCATGGAGGCCAAGGCATGACATGACCTAGTTTCCCCCTTGCTCCACTATGTATTATCAGCCTCACTGACTGCTTTGCTTCCTCAACAGACAGTAAGATGGTCTGCACACAGTCTTGGCATCGCTGGGCCCCTTGTTGGTTGGAATTCAGTGCACATAATCTCAGGAAATCTCAGACCCACAATGCGTATCTATCTTCTATCTATCTATCTATCTATCTATCTATCTATCTATCTATCTATCTATCTATCTAT